GTTTTTTGTCGTTTCACAATATTATGTGGTAATTACCCATTTGTAACAATCAATGTTTTTTTTAAAAAAAATAGTTGTCATAAACAAGTGATATATACACTCAAACATATAATCGGTTTTGAAGGCTTAACATCTTCATTTAATCCACGTTTAAAAATGTCTATCCTTGCTGTAACCAAACACATATAAGATGTTTTCATTGTTTTTTTATTTATTGGTTGTTTATTGTCCTAATTATTTTTTTGACACGCCATTGTTAATTACAGTCTTTGAAAGTTTAAACCCAAAAAGAAATAAGTGACTTTTTATTAGAGAAATAAATCATAACGGACAATACATGTTTAGTTACTATTCTTAATGTTAGTACATTTTTAAATTTAATATACCATAATAATTAATGGTATTGTTTGATATGTTAATAATTGGATTTTAAAATAAAGTCATTCTTAAAACCGTGCAACTTTGACGTGTCAGTGCAACTTTGTTTATAATATAATTATAGTAAAAAAAATTATATGTTTTTTAGAAACAAAACAAGAAAACCAGAGGTTTCCAAAATCACAATCCTAATTACCCACGTCACCATTTCATAACCAAAATGATCATTTTCTCTTATAAATTCGTACGTTATAATACCACATTTTCGGCAATAATTATTTTGGAAACGCCTGAAGATTACACAAACAAATTTCTTTAAAACTATTACTCTAATTAAAATACTATAACTAAACTATAACTAAAGTTGCACAGTTTTTCTCAATTAGTTTTTTGGGTTGCACCATTCAACTATGTCGTGTTTATCGAAATTTTGCGAAAAAGTCTTTGAATCACACGAATTGGCTTGTCTCATTATTTTCTTTTTTATAAACGAGATGTTTAACATTTGCTCCATCCACAATCGATATACAACACTGTTTTATTCGTTTTGTATGACAATTGGAATTCTGGATTTTAATGTTTTTTATTAGAACAAGCAGTTGAACTTATCATTTAAATATCGAGTTATATTTTATGTTGATTTATAACCTAATTCTACTTTTTGTTATTGTTGAAAAATAGAGATTCGCCTTTGTTGTGAGTAAAAAACAAAGAAAAAATAAAGTTGCACACTTATTCGGAATGACTTTATTTATATAATAAATGGTTTTTATTAATTAATAATATAATATGGAACAAAATAATATAATGATATTTATTTTGAAATTAATTCAATTTATAATATACTTAGTAAAATAAAGTTCATTTAAAAAATAATAATCATTATTTGTGCATTTAAAATGCTTCATATAACTCTTTTACAAACATGCAAGTTGTTGCCAACAGTGGTTTAACCGCACAAAATCTTCAAAATGTTCCTATTGTCCCTCTTAACAGTGTTCCCCCAACAGCTCAAAGAGAGGTATTGCCTACTACAATCAATGAGTTGTTACGTTTTGAGCATGTAGCAAATTTAACACCAGGAAGACAGTATAGAATGGCGAGAAACAACAGAGAGTACACAGTTGTTGCTGTAACTTGAAATACGGTGACACTTCCGGGGTTGAACGCAATTTATCGAGTTGAAAGATGGGAAAGTGGCTGGGACTTTGGTTACCAATTTCGATATAATCATAGAGGAAAACCAATGACGTGCACTTTCAATCCAGAGGGGTTCTACATCACACCAAATCAAAATACGGTCAACAATAACACCTGGCACCAAGAAAGTTGTGGTCATGGTTTATTCCAAAGAACCAAAACATACACTAAAAGTGAAATCGAAGTGATTCAAGTGAATTTGAATAACGCTCAAATTCGTCTTGGGACAAACACTGGAAACGCAGCTAAAAGAAGTAGCACTCAAAAACGCATTGAATTCACATCTAAAAGAGGAACATGCACAATTGGGAACATAAATTTAAATTTTATTTAAAATATAATTTAAATCTAATTAAAATTTTTGTTATAACAAACATAAACATAATATCTTTATATTAAAAAAATTTTAAAAACAAGTCATTGTTGTAATGTGGTTAATAAATAATATTGTTTATTTTTAAAGCAAAAAATAGCTAATATAGTTTTTTTTTAAAAAAGATTATATAATATTTTTTATAAAAATTACTATGTATTTATGATTTTCAACTTGCCAACGTTCTTGTAAAAGATTATTTTCCTGTATTATTTAATTTAATTCTTAAAAAACATCGTATTTAAAAAAGTTTTGCTTTAAAATCTTTTAAAAAAAGTTTTAACTATAATT